TAGTAGTAGTAGTAGTAGTAGTTGTTGTTGTTGTAGTCGTAGTAGTAGTTGTAGTTGTAGTTGTAGTTGTAGTTGTTGTAGTTGTAGTTGTAGTTGTAGTTGTAGTTGTAGTTGTAGTAGTAGTTGTAGTAGTAGTAGTAGTAGTAGTAGTGGTAGTGGTAGTGGTAGTGGTAGTGGTAGTAGTAGTAGTAGTAGTAGTAGTAGTAGTAATATTGTAGTAGTGGAAGACGACACTGTTTGAGCGCACGCCCACTTTACTCGGTATTTACACCACTTTCGTGATGTCGCAGTCCAACACCAACCTACCAACCACCGCTGTTGAAGGGTGGGGGTTGGGGTGGCGGGCGGTGGGGGGGGTGGGGGTGGGGATGGGCGGGGGTGGGGGGGTTTTGGGGGGGAGGGGTTGGGGGGAGGGAGGGGGGGGATGACTACGGACTTTTTAAGAGAACATCCAGTTTACTCGGTATTTACAGTACTTTGGTGTTGTTGTAGCCAATACCAACGATGATGATGACGATGGGTTAAGGCGCCAGGTAGTTTTTGGGGCGGAGTAGTTTGTCACTCAATTGGCACGTCGATGACAGCACTGGGAGGTCTTGACTATCCACGAGATGTTAGCCCCAATGAGTCGTGATCGCACAAAAAAAATCGATTTTTCTTTGGAGAAGACTTGACCTTAAGTTCTCGTTCTCTCAAAGCCCGGGCCCGTTTGGGTTTGGGCTTAGAGCCAGGCGGCTAGCTGCTGCATCTCGGCAGGAACTGGGCAGCCGGCCTGGACAGGGCGACGAAGCTGCGCGGAAATGCGCCAACGGCAAAGACGCATCGCCAGGCGTCCCCAACCTTCTCCATGACCTCAGCGATGCCCACGGCCTTCAGGCCGGCAGTCTTTCTCGATAGCCGGGTCTCAGCGACCGAAGCTAGACTTGGAGACACACTTCGGAAGGAGCCTGCAGCCTAGGGCGTTCGCGTCGCTTCTCCACGGCAGACGCTCGGACTATGTCCAAGTCAAAAACCATACAACACCTTACAACCTGTACCCTGCAACACGTCAGGAACTTCCTCTCGCAACAACCGTTCCCAGCAAAACCAACCAGGGAAATTCTCTTTGGCTCTCCCTGTGCCTTGTACGCGTCCTCACCGGAGCGTGTCAGGAAGGTCATGCTGCGCCCCTTCCTCGACATCAGCACTCAGCGCCAACAAGTGGATGCGTTATAAAATATATAAAATGCCGATCAGTGCTCTGTTGCAGCTATCCCCTTTGCTGTCGCTGCCCTACCTTTCTGCTAGGAAGCTTTTGGAGATCGGAGAGTACATGCTGTGCTCGGCACCCCCTACACAGACAAATCTGGATCTCTTACTCACGACAGCGGCCAAAGCAGTGCACACGGTCAAAGAAGTGACTTCCCAGGCGCTGCCCAGCGCGGCCAGTGCGGCCAATCCGATGAACATGATCCTTCCAAGAAGCGCGATTGCAGCGGTTTGTTCAAATTTCAGGGCGAACAAACCCGAACACCCCAGCCCTGCACTGACGTCCATTGACCTGAGCCTGTGAGGCCTTAAGATATGCCAGGCATGCTTGCCTGCTTGCAGGCCTGAAACAAGCCAAAAAGGCCTATCAATGTCAGCACGAACAGGACACTGCACAAGACAGCGTAATGACATGTCTTGCGGCCTCCGTGCTGTTTGCTGGGTCGTAGTTCCTCGGCTCTATGACTCTATGCTCTCTCCAAAGGCTACGTAGTGTGGGGCACATTTAGGTTACCAAGCGATTGACAATTCTTCGTACTGAAAATGCGTTGCATCATAGCCTCCGGACGGAAGGGATGCCATGGCCACTCGAAAATCCGCTGAACCGGAATCACAAAAAAAAAGAACCTGAACTCCAACTAGGACCAGCATCACCACCAGCGCGATGCCCTTAACATCCAGACCCCTGGCCGCCACATCGGTGGCCACGAGCACCTCCCATTCAGGTCGATGGAAACAAAGCTCCGAACGAGTGGCGGGTGCAACTCCAAAGCCGCTCAACTTGCGAAGCAGTACGAGAAGAAGCCAGGGCACCCGGGCCGCGCCGCTGCGAAGCTGCTGCAAAGCCTCCTCGCGCTCCTCTCGTCGGTAAACTTTCCAGCCAGCACCCACAGCAGCAGAGCTGCTGAATTTCATGCCGAGACGTTCAAGGCAGCCCCAACGAGATCTCAGCATCTTCACCCCGAGCATACAAAACAACGACTCGCTCCCAAGCGCTTAGCCCGTCCTGCTGATCTTTGTCGCTGTGCATTGCATTGGCAACGACCCCATTCCTCCGGGCATAAGTTCGTGTTGCGGAGGTGTGCACTCGGCCTCGATCCCTCTCGACACTCTCTCGACCGTGCTTGGGAAGTCGAAAACAGTGTTGGCTCTTCGGCCTTCGCCGCGAGGTCATCTGAAAGTACAGGCGTGCCCGCAATCCGCAAAGCATTCGCTTGTTGGCACTACGCAAGACAGGCTGCCAGCAAGCTTCAAGAAACGGATTTGCTGGAGCCAGAGCAAGTAGTGACCTTGAACCTCGTGGTTCAAATCAAGGCTCTTTCGCAAGGTGCGCGCCACCAGGTCGCAGTTTTTCCTAAACGGCAGAACAATTGACAAGCGAGACGGCCAGGTTTGCTGCCATTAAGGGTGGCTAGCTTAGATAACGGACACACATGACTCTCAGGATTCAGAGCACGTCTTCATGCTGCAGGACAACCATGACCGACCTTTTACGTAGAAAAGCCGAGGATTTGCATTGTACAGTCCATCAATCTCGAAGCATTCCAAATCTGCCTGCAGTTAGTGACTTCAGTCTAAACGTAGAGGGTCACGCCAACCGTCTCCAGAAAGCAACCGAGATGCTTCATAGCTACGAAGACCAGGACCCGTTCTTGGGACCGGGTGCTGCGAACGGCCTTGGCTCTGGGCTATGAGGAGCCAAGCGAAGGAGGCTGTTCTTCGACTTCTTCAATAACACGAAACCCCGAGCCGCACCTCATGGACCTGCACTTTGGTACACCACTGTAGTTCAAATGTCCCACAAGAAGCTTTGACTAGTCTCCTTGGCCAGTTTGAATCTTCGCAATTTTGGCTGTAACCGAAGGAAACATTGTGGAAAGACCCTGTGCTTCCGCTTTTCGGGAAAAGGAAACGCCAAAAAGCCTGTCCATCACATGTCATCTGTAGCCCCCTTCACCCTTGTCTCCCAGCCTTGAGTAGCATCTCGTCCTTTTGGTCTGGTGTCAAGACTACGACCTGCTGGCTGATGTCTTCGTTGGCCTGCCAACAGATGGGTTCCGAGCCCAGGTGGCAACGGACCTGGTGTGGTAGTTGCGGGTTTAGGGCGGGTTCCGGGATGAATACAGGACCTTCGCAAGTCGCATGGCTGTTGGCTCCTGTGTCCGGGTGTGGCGGCGTTCAAACGGAAGCGGCAGCATCGATTCTAAAGCAAGCACGCAGGGCACAGTACTGCCAGCACGTGGGAAAGCTGCTCTGAGAACGAAGACACCTGACAGTTGGACAGCGTGCTCACCATGCTTGCCCCACTACCTCAACCTTATCTTTCCGGTCAAGGTCACCTGCAAGGCTGTTGGGTCGCCGACTTGGATATGGATGGGCTCCTGAAGGGCAGGCACGGGTGGCAGGAATGCTGGCAAGAGGATTCTGATCAAGGTTCAAGAACAAGATGGCAACAGCCCGTGGGCCCAGAACACCTGAGAAAACGCTGGCAAGGTAGGGCTGTAGTTCAGAATCTCGACGCTGCAGGGCTGCAGGCTTGGTAAAGCAGCCATAAAGCCTTCTGTCATCAGTTTCAGGAATGGTCCGAGATTCAGGACGCAGGTTCGCGAACCAAGAACATCGACACCCCAAACGCTCGCACTATGATCGCAAATCGGACCGCAGATCCGAAGTTTAAAGCTAGGCGGGCAGACCGAAGCAACAACGGAAGGCCCGTGACTACAGTCAGGTGCTCCAGGGTTCTTTGCCTATAGGGTGGGTTGTAGAGCTGCGAGTTTTTGAGCGCGCTGATTTCGAAGGGTGTTGACACAACTCTTGCATTCTCGTGGCTTCCGACCTTCGTCTGATGATGAAACCCCCGAATGCAATAGGACCCTCTGCTCTGGATTTCATGTATTTCATAAAGCACACCACAGCCCCTGCACCGGATAGTCTTCCGGCCTTGCTATATCCTGCATAAGATCCTTAACCTACCTTGGCTCCTCCAAAGATTCCGTCACTAAACGAGTGAAACTGTCCAGGCTCGGTGCCTCTCAGCTCTGCAAAGCAGGTTTCGATTATGTTAAAGTATGTCCAAAAGTTACAGAGGACATTGGGTCTCGATCTCCCCGATCTCCATCAAAAGAAGCCTCAGTAGGCCTCACTGCATCCCCACCCCACGAAAACAGACCTGAGCAACCCTATCATTTGGGGTATTTACATATCTGCTTGGGTTTGCCGGTCCTGCAGAAAGTCGTGGGCCAAAGCCTGGACCTCCTCTGGCCACGTGGCACTGAACATCAGCCTTCAATCGATTGGGCTGTCCTACTCGGTACGTACATCGCTATCGTTGCTGTTAGGGCAACCACTGGGGAGATGCGGCCTGAGCTACCAGCATCGCAATTATATAAGTTTCATGTGGACTCGTTTTGTGACTGCCTACGAAAAATATTCATTTGTAAACCAATGCGACGCCCATATCAGTGAGCCACTAAGCCTTTGCTGTCTTGCAAAGCTACACGGCTTGGGCAAAGTCAGATTGCGTACAGAGAGTCTGAGGGTTCGGAGCCGCCGGCTATGATAAGCCGTCACCGGGCCCAATGCAAACTCCGGTCCCGAAGAAGACCTGAATCACTAAGAGGTCTACCTTTCTGATCCAAGCAGCGTTTGACGTCGGCGAGGGAGCTGCTTTCTGGCCACAATGCAAAGTGAAGCTTGAGGCCATGTGTATTTATCCATGGGTAGAAGGCCATGCTGTTCAAGTCCACGCCCCGCTACAGCGCGGAAAGTCAAATGACCTAAACCGAATCAAAACCGCATCCATCAAAGTCGAACCTCCGAACCGTGATTTACCTATTCCACACAACAAGCGTTGCAGGGGAGAAAAGATACCAACGTTCGACAGTGTTTCGATAGCACCCATACTTCCAGCTCCGAACGAATCAGAATAAGCAAGGCTACCTGCTGTAGGCAGTACAATCCCTCCGATGTTCGGCGTCCAACTGCCATGCCTGCGGTTCTGATTCTGTCAGGACCATACGACCAAAGTACTGCAGCAAAGGAACACGATATCTCGAATTTGCGGCTCGAAGCCTTAGTGTGCTGGCAGGGCGTTGGATCCCTGCTTAAACGTATCTCTCGCCTGCATATGTTGAATTTCCTGCTGCTTCTGGGTGCGCAGAAAAGGTGTTCCAATTTACAGCTCTGGAACAGGACCCCATCCGAGCGCTTCAGAGGATGGTCGCATAGATGCGGGGTCGGACTAGCATCTGATCAGCAGTGAAAACTCCCATGTGAGGTTTACTGTAGCATTCTATCTCGAAGCTGGCAAAAGCACGCGAAAATGTCGCAAGCTGCTGCAGGGCACCTGCTTGCCTAGGTCCATGTTGCGGAGCAACCCTTGCATAGCGTCCACAATTCCAAAAGCTTCTGGAAGCTCCGACGTCCCAGTTGTAAGCATGAAGCCCATATCTAGCATCCTGTCCGCTTCGTCGAAAACGAGGTAGCCCACACTTTGGAGAGAGATCTGCCGGGACCTCGCAGGGTCCGGGATTCCTCGTCTGTTCTGGAGAGATTCGCTCAATTATGGATTTAGTCTCCGAAGGTCTGGGAGCAGCAAGATCAGTGATTCCACATTGCACCTGGGTTTTCTGTTTTTCCGTCTGGTAAGCAGAGAGGAAGGCAGTGAAGCTTCAAGGCGAACGGCAACTGTGACAGACTCGGACACGGAAAAAGAGCCGTCTCTGAGCAGTCTCAAGGCACTCATTGTGACGGCACCAGCACATCCCACAGGCACGTCTCGTCTTTTTGTCCAAGATGCTCCAGGAAGTCGTTCAGACGCCCGGGGGTCGCCACCAGAATTGGTGCCCCGGCGCGAACAAGTGGCAGCTGCTCCTCTGCTCATCAAAGCCACAAGCAAACAAACACACAGACAGGTGTGCGTACCCCTAGAAGTATCGCCGCCGAATGAGTACATGCCACTGACAGCAACCACCGCGCGTCCTTCTTGGGCACACCACCATAGACCTCAGACATAGCAGGAGCCGAACGGAGTGAATACTTAGGACTTAGAACTTTGGAGTTTAACGCGAAAATTGGAGGAGTCTCGGATGTCCAGGCAGTTCCCCCGAGCCCAAGCGTCTTCTCTTGACCCTGAGATAATGCATCCTTGCAAGAAAGATGGAAGGCTCGAGCAGAAACACGACGAACCGGACAAGGTCCACAATAGAAGAACTCTGTCACTTTCTTCTGAGACGAACAGGGCTGCACACAGACAGGCACCTAACTCGTGCCGTCACAAAGCAGCATGCAACAACCAACCCGAACTGTCGAACTAGGAACCTTCAGGTACCCTGTGGAACTTCTGCTGACCAAGCCACGCAAGCGCTGGTGAACTTCGCTGCTGCTGCAAATTTGGCGGCCTGCAACACCATTCGAGTCTGCGCTTTCGCGGTTTCCTGGTACACATGACAGCACCGCAACCTGACATGGCTTCCGCGCCCGTTCCACAAGGAGCTCGCGCAGAATTGCTTGTGCTTGCGGAATTTCAAGTCGTCTTTCTTGAGGGGCGCACTGCAAGGCTACGAAATTGAGCAGTAGCAGCACCCAAACAGGCAAAGCCCAAATGCTTTCTGTCATTCTTGAAGCACGGACTGTGGCAGCCGGAATGTTTTGGCAGACCGGCTGCAATTCTGATTTCTTTCGGGGTAGCAGGGGCTAGGTGAAGGGGGACTTGATTTGGCGCCTGGCCTGTTCGGGTCTGAAAGACACAAGTCTAAACCTGCCCGACTTTCTCAAAACAAAAAAATTGAAAACAGAGATCATGTTCACCACATCCCCAAACAGTTTGCCGCCAATCCTAGCCCCAATTGTTGACCTCTTCGTGGATCTGCGTGGCCAGCTCACGCGTTGGTGCCAGGATCAGCGACCGCACCCCAGAGCCGCGGTGAGATCCCATCCTTCGCTTAAGGAGTCGTAGGATGAGGGCCTATCGAGGAATCAAGCTCCGGAAGTCCAGTCTACACCGTCAAAAAGGCGGTGCACGGAAGGGAAAGTTGTCCCCTGTTGAAGATTATTGACAGCTGCAAAGGAGGGTGCGATGATAACTCCAAACACACAGTAGCTTGGAGACAAAAGAGATGCCAAAGAAAACTACCCAGGAGGGGATCATCGGCCAACCAACACCAAGCCCCCGAGGTCAAAATGCAGCCTTTAGCCTCAAGCTTCCGAATTCGTCCATTCGTTTCCCAGAGCCCCGCCCGATGACTGTTCAGCTCCCCTTTGCGCGTCTGTCTTGGTGCTTCACTACAGTATGCAGCATGTGAGCGTGCGCCCAAGTCTCCACAGATAGGCCGGGTACAGGTATGCGAGAGTCTTGCCGGATCCCGTACGTGCCTGGGCTCTGGCAGCAACCCCGGCACACAGCCGCAGACCCTATTGCCCTGCGAAGCAGCCAGCATCGAAACAGAATGGAATCTCAGAACCCCTGACAACAACAAAACCACAAAGCCTCCTTCGAGCCGCGTCACGATGCCGATCACATCTAGGCCCTGGCAGGCTACCGGCCAGACCTGGGCCTGGATCGGCGTGGGCCTCTCGAGCAGTTCGGAGCTTCGGGGTGTTCAGGAGCATCCTATCTTGGCCTCATCGGCACTCGAACGAATGAACGTCCTCAATTTGTTGGGAGCCCCGGCGCAGCAAAACCGAATCCGTAGAAGGCGCGGCTCAGCTCTGCAGGCATCCGCCTGCAGCAATCTCCCTCCCTAGGGTTGACTATAAGGCATCATAACCGCAGGGGCAACACCACCCTGCAGGACTCTGCAGCACTGCAGGCTCGAATAAAGGCAGGGCAAGTCACGCGTCCGGGAAGGTGGCCCAGGGCGCCGGGACTGCCTTCTCACGGTGCGAGCCTAAGCCTAGGCCTAAACTCAATTCGAGATTTGGGGGGGGGGGGG